AGAACTCTGTTGGCCTATGATATGCTGTAGTAGAAATGCTAAGTCACATCCTGAAGCAGTGATTGAGCACCTGGTGGGAAGGCAGGGCCAACCCAGGGGAGCTCAGGTGCATGCAGTGCAGCTGAGTGACCAGAATGTGTGGAGCCAGGATCCACCCCTTCCCAGGCCTCATTTAAAGGTTGGCAGTGGATGTGAAGGGGGTCCTTTTGGAGCTCCCTGCGTACCTGAGGCCTTCTGAGGATAAGCAGCTTCTTTCCTTTATTTGTGTGCCCACGGCTGTTCATTTGGGTGAATTCTCACTTGCTCCAGCCTAGGACCTTGCTGCTTTGCTTTCCATCATGTTACAAACGTTCTTCTAAAATAGATCATATGTTTTCCTCTCCTTTGCAATATGTATGATTCAGGCTCCACGCTGAGTAAGTGCCTGTTTTGTTTAAAATGCAGTTCTGGTTTTATGTAGATATATCCTAATTTGTGCATCTACTTAAGACAGAGAAGTCACTTTATTGACTCCCATATGAATAAAACACGCTTTCAGAGCTTACAAAGCCCAGAAAAGTTGTTTCCTCCTGCATGTGCAACTGATAACACGTTGACCCTCTGGGGGGCACATCTCCCCTCTGTTTGCTTCTCAATGACTGTTGCTTTTCTTCACTTGCCCACGTCACTAGCGATGTACAGCCAGTACTTAGGCCAGCAGGAGTGACGCATTCATAGAAGGCAGCCAGCAACATCTCCTGCTTGCTAGCTCTGCCAGTGCCAATGGCACCGTTAAGGAAGGCTGCTGCAAGGAGCTCTATGGAAACACAACACAGCCCCAGGACTTCGACCCTTTCCCATACATTGCTGCCATTGCTACAATGGCCTTATTGTGTAATTTGGGAAAAAGTTACCTCAGTGCCATAGAAACGTATTCCAGAGAAGTGTGGCAAGCTTCTAATTTAGGAACACTCAACCTCACCCTGCTGTGTTGGGAAAAATACCTGTAAGTGAAAACTAATTTAGAGGCCAGAATAGGACAGTAGGGAAAATATAATGGAATATCAACTATAATTGCTTAACAAAATAGGTTAAGGAGATTTCTAAGCAGAGCGGTGTTGCCAATACTGACAGGTATGCAATCTTGGATTGTTAGCTTTTCACTGGATTCCTGTAAAACATGGCTAGCTAGAAAACAAGTGAAGGAAAAAGTAGGTTTGATCCCAATCATGAAAAGGTAAAAAGTTTAGAGAAAGAAACCCTCTGTATTTTTTAAAGGAGCTATTCTGAGGCAGAGAGAAGAAAAGATGAGAGTTCCAGGTATGGAACAGCCTTCTGTATTGGAATGTTTGTACCAGTCCCTTCTTCCTGCTTTTTTATTTCTATTTCAGACAAAATTATATTAATGAAATACTCCATGACTTCAGTGGCTTTCATACCTACTTGTAGTTTTGGAACCAGGTTGGCTCATAGATCGGAGTAGGAATTGGTGGTCAATAATCCTGTTTACATAAGCAGCCTGTAGGTTTTTCTGAACTGCCTCTAAAGAAAATAGCTATTAAAAGACTTTATTTTTAAATCTCTCCTCACACAATAGGAACAATAATAGCATCTCACTATTTCCACAATCAATAATCTGCCCCTCAAGTTGGGAGAAGCTGCAGAACTTTGGCTCTGTTCCACTCTTAGAAGCACAGCACTGCTATTTCAAGTGCTGCACTACAGCATCCCACTGTGAGCCTTTTGTTTCTTGAGTTGTACCATCATTCTTCCAGATTCACCTTCATCCAACCATGCCCCTTCATTCATCCAGCTGGAAATACCTGAGCAACTTTTCTCATCTGTGAAGATGCATGGTTTTGTGTTCCAAGTTTGGAATGTGCAGTTTATCCCACCTGCTTATTTCTATAAAATGTTTAAAAAAAAAAAAAAAAAAAAAAGTTGCACTCAACTTCTGCAACAAGAACTAACTCAGGCTGTAAGAACAGCAATACCCCATAATGAATAAAGCCAAAATGCGCATAGAATGCAAGTTTACCAAGCAAGAAACCAAGGCCAGAATCCTAAACAGATGTCAGGATTTCCGAAATGTGAGAGGAGGTTCCACACCATAATTGCCACCGAGATGTTTGTCAAACCAGGGGAAGCTCAGTGTAAATGCAGGTAGGGTAGCACACGCTAGAGGAAAAGACAAAGCGGGACAAGTGTCTGGCTCTGCAGGCAGCTAATTGCCTCTGTGGTTACTAGAATCCTTCCAGTAACAGCTCTGAAGGACAAAGTATCATCACAGCCTAATGTCTTTTCTGTATTGATCTGCAAAGCACTTAACTGAGCAAACGGGACAAGCTCAACCCTTCCAAGCTGAGAAGTTCTACTGTAATATTAAATCTATATGTATATATAGATTAAATTTGAGCAATTAAAAAAAAAAAAAAAAAAGTCTATTGCTGCTTAGGGGACTCTCTCTGTCCAAGCATGACACAGGAAATAGGACAGTAGAGTTTTCAGAATGGTCAGTCATTCCTCACTATTCTAAGACCTTCTTCTAAACCACGGTAATCGAAATGAGGACTGGTTATATCTGAAGTTTAGAGTTTTTGATTCTTTGAGTATATTTAAGGAGATGTTATGCCATGTTCTGGTAATGAAAATGTTTTGGAGTACTGATAGTAGTGCGTAGCTTTGGAGGTCTTTGAATTATTTGCTTATTTCTTTGTTTAAACGGATTAATTCCTACTTGCCTGCAAACCCAGTTAATTTTAAGTTGATTCACAGCTGGATGACAACATAGCAGTCTGTTTTATCCCGATTCATTATAGATCACTGTTACAGTAAGAAGAACCTCCATAATCTCCAGCTAGGTGCATGCCAAGTTGCTGTTTGTAACTCTGATCTCTCCCATGAAATCATCAGATCCTGTACCTGGATGAAAATCAACCTTCAGCCAGGCAGCAGGTGTTCTGAGCAGCAGAATAAAATTCTAAACTGTGACTCCCTGTTGGACACAGTCATGTATCTTCTTGCATGGCTCCTCACACAACTGAACTCACCACCTTTCCCTATCAGTGGCACCAGTTTTCAGTGACTCCTTGCAATGAGATAAAGCATTTTTTCCACACTTCATAGCTCCAAAACCTCCATCGTATCACAAACAGCAATACGTCTCACTCTGTCTCCTCCACTTGCACAAAACCTTCCAGTCTCCCTGCTGTGATGCTGCATAGTGAGTTGCATGTGGAAATCTGCTTTCTGGAACACCCAGAAGCCCTGTTCTCCTTGGGGATGGCACTAGCACCCTCTGCTGTTGTACAGGAGCATCAAAGCCAGCTGAAACCCAGTGCCAGCCCTGAGTGCAGGGCATCTCAGGGACAGCCCTCAAGATCCCTTGCTGAAGGCCCTGAGCCACAGAACCTCACAGTTACACTCTTGGCAATGTGACTTTGCAGTGACTTTGATTCAGCTTATTTCCAAAAGCAGTGACTGTGTAAATAATCATGTTGGTTTGGTGTTGTTGTTGTTGTTTTTTAAACCATGCAGAATGAGCTTACTATGGTAGTTATCTACGCTCATCCATCACCTACAACCTACAAGTGGGCAATGGGAAGTCAGAGCCTCACGAATGCCACAGTCAGCTTTTATAAATGTATCAACAAATCACCAGTGATTCAATGTTGATTTTAAAACCTCATCTTGTGGTTACATGAGTCTAGTTCTGATTTCTTCCTCTTCATACTTTTTGTCCTCTTGGCAGAAACTGGAATAAAATAACTTCAGAAACCCAGAAGGCAAGTAAATATCAAATGCAGCATCACATGATTCTCATGTTCCTTTCTTCTTTCCTAAAGCAACCCCAAGAAGTCTTCCAGTGGCTGGTGAGTAACTCTGAAACCCAAATGAGTATTCACAAAGTTTCTTGTGATCACAGCAGTGCAAGCTGACCACGATCTACAGGAGCTGCAGCAGCCCAGAACAAAAGGAGCCATCAGCCCTCTGATGATGTTTTACATTTTTAAATAGATTTAGGAAACCTTATTAGTATGATCACCTGTGCTGATCAGTGCCAGACCACACAAAATCATCCCAAGACAAGATCTATGCAGTATATCCATACAGAGAGTATGTATTAAGCAAATACCTCTTTTTAATTTTTTCCTTACAATTTCCTTTCCTTCCTTTCCAAATGAGGGCCATCTATTGCTCACTGTTTCCAAGGAATTGCATCATCACCACTGACAACCACATTTAATAGTAAAATAAAAAATGAGAATGGAATACAAAAGGGGTTCCTTCAAGGCAAGGATTACAAAAGCATATGTACATACCAAACATAATGGAAACAAGATTAAAAGTGAAAACAGGGACAGAGAGATTCTAGTAACATTTGCAGTATTTCCCTTTAGGGAAAGGACCACAATCCACACTAACCAGAAGATAAGAGTTTGCTGAATAAGGAAATACATGTATTTTACACAGGGTCAGTAAGTGTCTGATGGGATGGCAGCTGGACAGAACTTCAGGAATCAAAGCTGAGTGTGTCCATTTACATTACACTCAAAAGCTTCAGAGGAATGCAGATACTTCAGATCTTTGCAAAAGAAGAAATTACTGTTAAAATAAAGAAAAAAGTAGTAAAATAGGTCTGGATTAACAAACCAGCAGTGAAACTCTTAGTCTTTTTTGTGTTAGTACGAAACAAACAGAATCTACAGTTTCAGTGTGCTCTCTTGGGTAAGTTTTCACCTATATACAAGAGTCCACAATCTAGCTCCTAATTAATACTGTTTTCAATTATTGTGATCTATATATTTAAATTCGGGCCAAGACTGGAAGATCGAAGTCTTCCTACGTGATGCCTATTTTTTGTTTTGCAGTTAATCCTATAATTTTTTCCTCAAAAATACCTACCACCTATCCAACTAAAAACTGCCCATCGGCCAAGTCAGCCTTCAAAGTTTGCACTGACTGTAAACAAGAATTGTAAATGTGCAATGCTGCAAAAAAAGACAAGAAGGACCACTAGGTGCTGTTGGCTTTTAAGCCACTAACATCATTTTATAAAGCTTTTCTTTCAATAGTCTGCTCCCTTCAATGATGGCATTTTTAGACTGATGTTGGGTTACCAGTTAAGGATAGATGACACATGGGGGAAAGTAGCCACTTTATCACACAAGAATGTGAAAAATGGAGTGGCCTTTGTTGAACATATGCTGTGAATTTCCAGGTAGCAACAAGTTTCCATCCGCTGCCACTCTTTAAGAGAGAGGTTTTGCTGATGAATCTCACAAAAAAGAAATTACTCTTTGCCATAATTAAAGGAAGTTTTTTGGGGGTTTGATTTGTTTTGGGGGTTTTTTGGTAGATTATTCCAGATTTCCAAACAGACAGCCAAAAACAGAGAGGATGCTAGAGCACGATGGCTTTCTAGGATGTGGCAGAGAAAAGGAGGCATGTGTCTCTGGGTCATCCCACCTGGCATCACTGAGCAAAGCACAAGACCTACAGCACTGTGATTTCAAATTATCCAAAAAGGCAAAATTACTCCAACTCACAGTGCTGTTTGGATCCTGCAGCTATCACAAAATAGGTCCATTAGCAATCAGAAGCAAATGCAGACCATTACACACAAGTGTGATGACATCAATGCCCATGAGTCACAATGATGCATCAGTGTACAGCATCATATCTATTTTATAGCATACATTAATTCCTTAGCCAAAACCACATTGCACAAAACACTACATCGTTCATGGAAACTTTAAAAACATATTTAGCAAGGGAAACATTTCAAAAGCCTGAAGCACGTCTTCTTAGAACATCAGTGTCTTTTAGTCAAATACGTAAGTGTATGACATAATGATCAAGTTTTCCTAGTAGTTGGTAGTAGAAAATGCTCTGCTTGCTAATACTTCAAAATTGAGCCCCAGATGGCATTTCTTCACTGTATATTTACATACAGCAGTCTGAGCAAAAGTTCTAAGGCTCTAATTTCTCAAAAAAATGATCACAGTGAAGAAGGATTTAAATGGAGTTAATGCAGCTATAGACGGTACAAAGGATGTCCATGTCATTTGCTATTGTACAATCTGGGGCATTTCACTCCATGCTTTGGCTTTCTTCTTGGCCAGGGATAGCCAGGGTGGTTCAGCAGGACTGCACGGTGTCACTGGCAGGTTAGAAGAGTGTCTTGTTTCCTTTTCAACAGCAGGAATCACAGATGCTTCCTGAGCAATAGGTCCAACTTTACCTGCCAACAAGAAGAATAGCCATCACTCATCAGAAGTCTACACAGCTGAAAACTCAGTTTCTGCCAATAATATTTTCTTCTCTGGAAAGAAAATCATTTTACAGCCCAGAATGTCTGTGACTCAAGAATAAAAGTCAGAGAAATTACTAAACTGGGTATCATTGGCACTATCTGGTCGAGCTACAATGAAGGCTAGGACTAGCTATTGCAATGGAAAAAACTGTATCAAGCTTTTAGTTGACAAAGCTGTCTGCAAAAGAATCTTCTCCTCGGTACTAACAGCAAGTGATGTAGCCCCTGACATATGAAGATGTTCTTCAAAATTCTTCAAACCTGAAAACTATAGCCCCATGTATTTTTATAACACATCTTCAGGGCTAACTCATTTCTTTATCTTTTCAAACTCTTAATTGCCATGACAGTGCCAAGCAAGGAGCTCTTCTGCTCTGTGACTGGCAAGAATATCTGGGAATAAGACTACTGAGTATGAAGGAAAATGGAAGCAAAATACTTGCAGGGCAAGGATCACCCCAGGCTCACTGAAGGCTTAAAAGAAACTGGTATATGGTTTTCAATTCTGCTCCAGCAATATTGTTAAATACTAGGTAAAGGTCAAATGCAAGAAGGTAGGATTCTGGAGGAGCTAGGTGCTCCTTTTAATTGCAGCCTAACACAAGCCTGTCATCCTCACAAAGGGCAGAAGATAGGACTCCTTGTATGGCTTTGAGTTACTGTTTAGAAAAGGCATCCTCCCTCCATCTTCTTAGAGAATTTTCAAGATTGATGACTTCAGACAGCCTGTCATGGGGCATGACAGGTACAGCTCACATTTCTCAAGATATGATTCACAAGTCTTTCAACATTGTGCTCTCTCCATCCCTTTCAACCCATACAGGACGTATGGGTCCAGTCAAGCTGGGAAAACTCAAACCTCAGTACCCCACTAGCCTGTGTGTGGCACATAGCTGGCAAGATGAGGCTGCTGTGCTCCAGCACAAGAACAAAGGCCACACAGGGACTTGAGCAATACCAAGTACAAGAAGCTTGATCTTGCACTCACTTAAATCGATGAAAAATGTCAATCAGCTCCATCAGCCACACTCCAGATCAAAGCCAATGAAGTTCCATATCTCCATGCAGGAGGTCTCTTTTCACAGCCCCAGCTCACTGCTATCCTTGCAGGAGGCAAGCTATACTAAGGAATAATAGAGGAAGTGTACTATCCACTAAAAAGAGGCTGCAGCTCTACATGCACAGTGCATTTTTTTGGAAGCATCTAGGAGGATATCGAAATTTAAGTGTACTGAAATCTTGAAAATGGGTTTTCACTTTTCAGGAGACAAACCTCACCATGCTTAAAGTGAAAGAGAGAAGAAGCAAGCTAGGTAATCTTCCCATGGTTATGGGAACACGTGAGCACGGGCTGTCACACAGCAAAAACAAACCAAACGCACTCAGTTACATAAGTATCTGATTTCTTGGAATTTGTTTCCAAACTTAGCTGACACTGAGCTGCCCTGGCTTTTGCTGCTGCGTACAGAATGTGCAGAACTGTATACAAGGCCTCAGCCATCTATTATGGGAGAAGAAAACTGCTCAAGTTAACATAAGCCAAAAAGCAAAATCCAAATAAGTATCTCCTTTGGATACTGAATCTATATCCCCTCCACCAACAGCACCTTCAGCTGGGCAAACTGCTGGCTATGCTAATGGGAACTGCATAGGAAGAGGAGAGTTTACATTTGGGGTTCCTAACTTCCTGCTCACGTGCTGATTGTGCTGAGTGTTTCCAAAAAGTGTGGTTTTCTGAGTAGTTAAGGAGCGATGTTTTCCTTAAACATCAGCACTGTAAGAGTTCTCTGTGACATTCCAAGAGTGGAAGACTATCCCAAAAATGCTGTCCCTGGAGGGGAGAAATAGCCCTCGGTTATCAGGAAACTAGGTCAGTTCTTGGGAAGAGGTGATGCAGAAAAATTCTGCTGCAAGGCCCACAGGCGGGATGAGTTCTACTAGATGAGCAGCAACACACTTTGTGTAGTTCTGGGCTTCTGCTGAAGGGTGCATGGCTTCCAAGACATGGATAATTCAGTACAGAAATCCAGCTTGTTTGGGACAGCCTTTCAAAGGAAGACTGCCATTTAATCTGAGCAAAATTCTCACTTTGCAACTAAAACCATGAGATCAAGTTGGCCAGTAACAGAATTCTTTCTAAAAAAGATGGTATTTTCATCCTCTGCCCGTAGTAGACTAGCAAGTACATAGAGTCTCCCTGCAGGTGCACATCCTCAGCTGGTCAGCTGCCTGGAGTAAGAGAGAAAGCTCATTTTGTAGCACTTGTAAACTCAGAAAGGGATAAATGGTCTATAAACAGCTACCATGGGGAAGAGGCAGGGATGTAACCCCTTAGTATCTCTAATAACAAGAATTCTGGGTGCTGTGGATTGTAAGGGGAAAGTGGCCTTGTAGTGAGTGTCAGCAACAGGAATCTGGATCAGAGCCACTCCTCTGACACACCGAGGCATTTCTTATCTTCTTAGGCAGCATCTGAAATCAATAGTTTCCAGCTCACATAAGATGCTTGTACAGAGGAAGAGCTGGCTTATCTGTACCTAGCTGGAGTGTGCTTGGCACCACACTGAGTGAGCAGGGAGGTATAAGCTGCAGCCCAGCAGTAGCCCTGGAAAAGGCATGTGAGTCACAATGTCTGAGTCACACTCTTCCCTTGCGTTTCTCGTACAGAGAATCAGAGTTAATAAGGCAGGAGAGGGGCCTTTCAACCTCTGCTCTCCCAGGGGTGGAACTGATTCTTACCATTCCTGATGGGTGTTTATCTAACCTCTTCTTAAACACATCCGGCAATGGAAACTGCAGACTATCTAGAAGACCTCATCCTATTCCGTATATCAGTACTCTTTATTGTTAGGAAGTTTTTCAGCCTCCCCAGTGCATTCTAAGCTCATGCAGGGCATGAGCTTCCTCTCTGCAGCAAATTAAGTCCTTCTGTAGACTAAACAACTCCACTCCCATCAGTATTTCCTGGCTGACTGGAGGTGTAGAAGACCTGACCTTTTTGCTGCGCTGTTCTGGACACTATCCAACTTCAACTGCTCCCTGGAAAATATTTTTTAGTATTGATCTTTGCCAGTAATAAATCACCATTCTGTTTAAATGCCACTCCATGAACTGGCAGTGGAGATGAAAGCGCATCACTTGCTTTCTCTGCTGAAAAACCAGAGCATATAAAACTTAAACACATGACCTAACACATATACGACTTATATGCAAACTACAGTCTGAACAGGCCTCATAAAAAGTATGCTGATTATTCAAAAGAATAGAATCATGGAATCATTAAGGTTGGAAAAGACTTCTAAGATCACGTAGCCCAATCATCCACCTACCACCAATACTGCCCACTAACCCATGTTCCTTAGAACCACATCTACACAGTTTTTGAACACCTCCAGGGATGGTGACTCAACCACCTCCTTGCACAGCCTGTTCCAATGCATCACACTCTCCATTCCCTACCACTCTTACTGGTGTAAATTATATCCATTATGTAAAGACGTGGCTGAAAGAGAATACCTGCTGCAGCACACACACTGGTCTTCATTTGTGGTTTCTTCTCCTGAGTCCTCAAGCTGGAAGGCATGTTCTTCTGTAGGTTCTCACTACCACAGATGACTTGCTAGAAAAGGAGGAAGAGAAAAAGAGAATGCAAATAAGAAGCCTGCCAGACAGCTGTGTTCCCAAAGCTTGCCATTAGAGCTCTGGTAGCATCTCCAAATCTAACTATGGAAATGCAGAAAAAGCCAGACAGGAATAGTTAGGGAGCGAGAGGGCAAGAAGTAAGATAGTTGTTATAAATAAGGGTCACTGCACATGCAAGCAAGTTACCCTCTCTTTCTCACTGAGCAGGAATTTAAGGCTTGCACAGGAAACATATGCAAGAGTCAGTGGAGAAGCAGACCTTCAGTACAGTTTCTGCAGTGAAAGAGAAGCACTGGAGCAGATCAGTGAATGCTGTCTGTAAGGCACCAATAGTGAGAAAGCTGCTGCACTGCACAGCAGCTCTTGGTGAAGGATTCACCCCCAGGTAACTTTACTTGGTACTCTACCTCCTCGTGATCAACTTTGCTCGAGGTTTGCTCTTCAGCCTTCTGTTCTTTGGCAAGAGGGTGGTCCTGGAAACCCTTCTGTTTTAGTTTTGCCATGGAGATCCAAGCCGGCTCAGAGGAAGCAGTTTCCAAATGTAGAGAAAATACTTTTTCTAAAAAAGAAATATTTTTGAAATAAAGAAGGGATTTAGGTCAAGTCAGCCAAAAGCTAGAGTGTTTTCTGTTTTAAATCCTTCTGCTTCTGTAATACCCTCTGAACACCGGGGGGATAAAATTACCTTCCCTGATGATCCTGTCCTTGGCAATAACCATTTTTCTGTTTATTCTACAGTTTTTTACCCAACTCTGCTTCCGTTTAAGTCAATGGCAGAACTCCCACTGAGACCATTGTGAACCGGATTTTGCCTCTGAAACAACATCCTTACATGGCAGATTACAGTAAGATAACCATTACTTTTTCATGTCAGCTGTAAAACACAGGCTACCATTTTGCCTTTTGAGTATTTTAAATTAAGTGCCTGCAGGAAAAAAAACATGCCAGTGCAACTCCTAGCTAAGGTTTGAACTTCTGCAGTCTGGAAAATTAACTACAGAACAGCAGCAACTTTTACAAAGCTGTGTTAAAACTCCAACTACATGCAGAAATGAGTTGCACCAGAAATGTTCCAGATGCCCTTAAGCTGTTATTCTGACATTATTCTTGCTGGAACACACCCCTCATTAAGATAAGCCAAGAATTCTCTTGACCGGCTAAATCATCAAGCTATGAAATGATGGTAATAACAAGCTCAAGGCTGAGTCTGGTCCTCTTCAAGAGGATTTTATCTTTTGTTTCCCATTTTTTCAAAGGTCACTGCTTTCTACAACATTTGAGTAAAAGCACAGCATAAATACCTGAAGGTTTAGTACCATTTTGCTTCTTTGTCCCTTCTTCTGATCTTGTCTTGGGAGGACTTTTGTCTTCTACATCGGCTTGTTTTAAGAATGATGTTGTGCTGGCAGGAAGGCTTGGAGGTGGCTTCGCAGCGCCCGCTGGCTTCTGATCCTCCTTGACTGCAGCAGAAGCAGTGGGAGCACCTGAGGGGAGCAGCTTTGGAGACTCAGCACGGCTTTCACTCTGGTACTTCAGTAAAGAAGATGTTCTCCTTAATTTGACCCCAAAAGGATTTTCAACATTTTTTGCCTCCCGGTCAGCCCACTCCAGAGAAGAATTCAAAAGCAAATCACTGTCCCTACAATCAAATCTGTTGGAGTTGTTTTTCATAGAATCCTGGATGACTGCATGTTCTTTTGTTATTCCTTCAAACAACTCTGGTCTTATAGGGGAGGTTGGGGAACTTCTGCTATAGGAATCTTCCTTTGAATTTGAACCCCCTGAGAGAGATCTTTGCCATGCAGGTGCAATGGTAAACCTCACTGGCTTCGCAGCAGCAGTTTTTAGCACACTTTGTGTATTTTCTTCTGAGGACTGACTGTCTTTCTCTGGTTTCCTGTGAGAAGCTGTACTGCTTACTTGGTACTCCTTACAGTCATCGTTAGAAGTGACATGACATGTCAGTCCAGCCAAACTTGAAGAGGCCAGACTTTCAATGGAAAGCTTTTCAGAAGCATGCGATGTGCAGGTTTGCTGACTGACATGGTTATCCTTTGAAACGGGACAAGGTATTTCTGCTGTAAAGCATACTTCCAATTTGCTGGGAGGTAGCACGCAACCTGCTTCTAGCGCAGACGCAGCAGTGTCTATTTTTTTTCCTGCACTGCCTTCGGATGGCTGAAATTCCATTTTTTCACAAGTTTCGTTGTCATTTCTTGTTGCTGAGCTGCTCTCAGGCTTCAAAACATCCACTGTCTTGACGTCAGAAGACTGTGAATCAGCTACTGTAACCTGTGAAGTGCTCAGAGCGGTATCTAAGACAGACTGGTTGGAACAGCTCTCATTAGTACCCAGAGAAGCTTCTACTTTGCCAATAAATAGTGTACCCACCTTTTCCTCGTCTTTGACATTTTGGTCCACAGATTTTGCTGGGCAGTTTTGTGCAACATATGTCAATACAGTTATACTCTCCATTTCAGTGCCACTGCCAAACGAGTTAGCTGCTAGTGCACCTGGAAGCACAACAGCTCCTGCTTCAATTTGTTGAGATTTTGGAAGTGCAGATACTTCCATATTGGTATTTTGCTGATGTAATTTCAGTTCCCCAGAAGTGTCATCTGAACTGTGTGGCACCGCAGCACTGTGCTGTTCCCCCAGGCTCACTGGAGGAGACTCAGGTCTCAGAAGGGATGTGGCTGCATTACAGTGATGGTCCACATCTGGAAGGCATGCATCTTCTTGCAGCAGAGTACAAGGGTCTTCTGCCACAAGTCTGGAACTGTAGGAGTCAGGGTCAGCATCAGCAGGACATTGTACACTTGGTGTCTCCTTAGAACCACCTGCCTCTGCACCACATTCCACATGGGCTGATAAGCCTATATTAAACAAAAGAGAAGAGTGTGCACTTCAAGGTTCAAGCACCATCTATATTAGTAATTCATACCAGAAAAATGGCTGTTAAAAGCATATTTTAAAATATGCTTAAGGTGTACCTTATCACTGGCTGTTTAGTTCTTTTCCGTGTGCATCCCTATTTGTAAAGCTAACATACAGATTTCTGGATATCTGGATTTCCCTAGATATTTCTTCGTGTGTATACCTAAAATAGTTGTCTAGGTTGATCTGGAGGATTTTTTTGTGTTTGAACAGAGGATCTCAGCATCAGGTAGCACAGCCTCCTGGAGCTGCAGCAGGGCTGCTGAGTGCCTGCATGGCAGAGAGATGCCTGCACATGGAGTAACTCTTGATGTGTCTCTTTGTGAAGCTCAAGGGACAGGTAATACATGTACCCTGAGATAAGCAGCTCACCTGGGGCTGATGTTACCCTTTATCAACTCTAGAGTGTACAATAAATCCAATCCTCCCTGAGCACCTGAGACCCACCAACCTGCGCTGATATCTGGGAAATCTGGGATAGAAATACACCAGCAAGACACATCACAGCTGACACCTTCAAGTGCAGACTCAGACTCTTCTCCAGCAGGTCAGCCCCTAACCTGTACTGATGCGTGCGGTTACAGCTCCCCAGCTGCAAGACTGAAACACAATTTGTGTACACCAGACTCAAATTAAAGCCCAGCTAGCAGGCAGGTGATATCTGTGTGCTCCATTTGATGCTCGCTCCTGTGCAACAGCAGGAATCCTCAGTGCTTTTCATGCAAATGACAGACACTACTTTCTTGAGCTAGCAACACTTAACATCCCACAGGGTCAGGCCCTGAGTCTGCCCTGAAAACAAGATGCCAACGTTCCCACCACACTATAGCATTACCATCAGTCAGTGCACTTTGAATATAGTGCTGAGTAAAAATGTATGCGTTATTCTGCAGAAATTTCAGCTGTTTTTACAAGTTAGATTACAGCTGTTTTACCACGGGTAACTAGCTGTTATTCAAATGATAAGAGGGGAGGCAGGAGAGGAAGGTCTAGTAAACAAGCCAATTAACACCACCTTACACTGTGTAACATACAATTACAGAATCACAGAATCATAGGATCACAGAATGGCTTGGGTTGGAGCAATGTTGTTTTCTTCTGAGTTTCAGGAAACTCATCCCCAGCCAATGTGAACCAGCCAGCTGTGTAGCACTGGTACTTCTGAACCTGCTACGTTCACCTCACTTATTTTTTCATGCTGTCCTCAAAGATCACCATTTCAGCACCACAGTTTGACTGAGGATATGATGCCACCATCACACTTTAGCAGCCAGGTCTGGTTTTAAAGTATAAAACCGAACCTGGTTTGAAAGGACTCTCAGCCCAAATAGGTCACGTAGGCCTACTGTAGGAGAGTTCAATCCACTATTTTGGAAAGTCACAAGTTTACATTACCTTCCCAATCGCTTTTATGCTGGTCACTCTCAAGTAATTCTGTTGGATTTCCCTTCTTTTCTGGAGTTCCACAAAAACATGTTTCTTTTTCTGTGTGTTCCACCTAATGAAGTGCAGAAAGATATTTTAATTAAAGAATAATGCACAAAAATTGTATTTTATACATGCACATAAATGTTTTTGAATACACAAAACATTTAGAAACAAAACCTGTCTTCTGTAATTTACCAACACTGTGGGTAATGTACTATCCCAGTTAAGAAGCTCAAAATCATTCCTGTTTTAAACCATCAAAGGTCTCTGGGACACTCTGAGATTCGTGTACTCTGAGAGAATGAACATATTTTGAAGAGATCACCAAGCCACCTGATGACAGAACAGAGCAAGGCAGAGACATCACCACCACTTCTGGTACCTCTGACCACCATTCCAATCAGCTTTTCTCCTCCAGCACTACAGCTACACCAGCTGCAGCACAAAGAACATCCAGCAAAGATGCTACAGGGCCCAAGTTTCCAAGCAAACCTCATTCTATATTCCAGTCTTTCTGAGTGTCCAGCACTCCCTCCCTTCCTCAGAGTGGGGCACTTCTAACTCCAGAACAGATTGCCATTCATGGGTCTCTAATGGAGGGGGCAACATGCACTACAGAAGGGTTATTCCTTTTTTCTTCATCCTCCAGCTTGACTGTTGCCTTTCCTTGTGGCAAACGTCACCTCCACGTTTCCTGAAGGGAAGGAGGACAAGCCTCTCATCCTAATTTCTCTTTTCCAGAAGGTCTCTCATCCCATTATCACTCAAGTATACTTTCTCAGGCCCCAGAGACAGCTCAAGACTTTCTGTATTTTTTTGTCTTCATCCATCTCAACAACAGATTCTCACAAGCAAAGGCACAACCCTTCCAAAGACCCTTCCTTTGGCATACGAAGAATTACACCAAAGATAATCTGAAATTGTTTGTAGAAATAGGCCTCAGTTTCTTTAAAACTGAAAACAAGCTTTTCAAACAACAGGGATGTTTCTACAAATGAAGTATAACATGACATTTTTTTGACTGAATAATGAAAAAAAAATTAAGTTGCACTTTTATTCAGCACCAGTAATGGGTTGGTAAAAAATTATGTGGCTTGTCACCTATTTCCAGAAGGGAAAAAGTAAAGGAAGGTGAGCATGTTCTTTCTGCACAGGAATTCTTTTCCAGAGGAGGCTCACCTGGCTTTGCTGGCTCTTGCTGGTAAAGCCCTTCTGTCTCCGGGGGTTGATGGCAATGCGGTGCCGGGCAGCAGAGGTGTCCAGGCAGCCCAGGGGGCTGGCAGGGATGGTAAAGTCAATGGGAAGGGAGCTGCTGCCCCGTGAGCCTGCAGCCCCCAGAGCAGCAGAGGCTGAAGGACTGATGGGCCTGGAGGAAGCTCCAGAAAGTATCTGTAAAACACAGACATGTCACTGTACGTCTTGCCCACCTTCCCACAGCTCTGAAACATCATTCCTTTGCTAGCTTACTCTGTTTCAGAAGCCTGAAATGGACATAAATCATTACTTTTATGTCTAATGCACGTCTAATGTTTTTTTTCCACAGAGATTCCTCAGATCTGCGTGTTCACAACTGTATATTACACAGAAGTGAGAAATGCCCACTGCAAGTGCCTCAGCTGCCCCTTCCCATTTACTGTCTGAGAAGCCATCTGCAATATATTTATGCACCAGCAGGAGACACTGGTGCAGTTTTTATAGCTGCCTTTTCTTCCAGATAATGAGACACGATGCAGGAATGTATTATTAAAAAGCCACAACAGTATGGGTGTTTTCTCCTCATTCCTTCTAAGAAAGTTACCGCAACCACTCTGCTCTTAATATCACCCTCCCAGAATAAAAACCAATGCTTCCCTCCAACACATCTCCCAGAACCATCTCCCAGACAGTGATGTGGATCTCATCCTCATACCAGCGCTGCTCTGGGGAACTAAACAGCAGCAATCTTAGATTAAATGATCAAAATACAGCATTTCCAGAAGTGCTTGTAGGGAAACCCCTAAACGTGCAGTGGGACTGGCACTGTTACTGATTTGAAATGCAGTCCTGCAAAACGTCACACATGCCCAATAAGTTTGATTCAGTCTAACGCACTCACTACTTTGGCTTTGGCCACAAAGGCAGGTGAAACAGCCATGGCTTGGCATTTGGCTTGGTTTAAGCCTGATATACTGCATGGAATGTAAAGCATATGTGTGCTGATAAAGTTCTAAAGATAATGAGAGCATCTCACCAACTGAGCTACAAAAACTAAGTATGCTGTTTTGTGTTTAAAGCAACTCAAGCTCATTTCCTTATTCTGAATTCCATCGTAGGTCTGAAACAAATTACAACAGAATGTCTGAGATTCTGCTCACAAAACTTTTATACATTGTGAAAAGACAAAGAATACATCTAGTAAATAGTTATTACTATAATTCTATAAGATTAATGTTATGCTAAGCTCAAAAGGATCACATTCAAGTTCTTCTGCCTTTCAATTATGTAACCACAATTCTGCTTATTTAATACACAAACCACCTGAAACTAGCATCTGAGCCACTGCTGTTATAAATGGTAAATGTATATAGCCTATTCCACTGAGGATATTCAGGATATTTTATTCCTGTGAGCACTGACTGATGATTGGTATCTTCTCTCACCGACAGCGGAGCAGAGACAGGCTTTGTGCACCAGTATTGGAGTGTAAGGTAGATTTGGTACTGGTTCTCATGCAGTGATGGAACCCTGTGCTGTGAGACACATTTCCTACAGAGTGTTTGTGCCAAAACATTGTTCCCAGCCACAGAAGTGGAGGCCCTGTTTTGATTTTATTCGCCCTAGGCTGAAGTTAGATTTCCATAAAGGCTCTCTGGCAAAGCAGTGTCAGTGCTGGTCAACGTCTCTGCAAAGTCACCTGATGCTGGCTTTAACAGTCTCAGATTTATCCCCACTTAACCAGAAAGTTGGCACCTATAAATGCAGAAGTCTCCAAGAACTGACACCAGTGATGTATCAGGGTTTTTCACAGCATGAAGGTCCTGGAAAGCCCAGGAACACAACAGAGGGCAAAGATGTTCAGTAACTATCCTCTGCATCAAAATCAAGAAGAATGTAAACCACCACACTGTGTGTAGATTCACATTGCTCAGGATCAAATTCTCTTTTTCCTTTGATAAATACAAACATGTTATTAAATGGAACAACTGTTGTTGAGTTCTCGGTGCTCTTCAACATTTCTCTCATCTTTGGGATGAGGTCATTCCCTGTAGCAACTCGTTCTACCAGTTCAAATCCTGGCATTACACAAAGACCTACAAATGCTACTGAAAAAAGCACCTGATGATTGCTTTGGAATTACGACTTCTAGTTTTAATAAACATATCAGGAAGATTTCTGCTTAGCCAAATTGCTCACCAAAAAAAAATACTGGGGTAAAGAAACAGATGCTGCACTGCAGAAATTAGCCAGATTCCTAGGGAACTGGTGAGAAAAAGAAGGAAGCTTTCAGCAGGGGAATTCTGTAAAATATGGAAGAGGGGAAAAAACTTTTGTTCTGTTCCTGCCTTTCTTTCTCATAAGGGAAGAGGATGAAAGACCGACAAAGCTGTGAAACATTACATTGTAAGGAATAAACTGCAGAGAGGCTTACAAAATGAAGTATTTTAGTAAAAGTGTAAAACAGGAGCTGCATTAATGAAAAGATACATGCAAGTAACAATAAAATAGGTAATTTATTAGAAAGTAATGGCAATCTAAGTTACTTAGATCAGTTTGGGCTCTTAGAGGTGTCTAACCAGAAGTGAGAATCAGTACTTTATCTTTCCATTCTAAAGGAAAGGATCTAGGGATGACTATGCAGAAAAGCACCTGGTCTCAACCAGGGAAGCTGAGCTGGTTTCTCTCTCCTTTTTCAAAGGCTGGAGAAGGAGAGAATGGAGTTTCCTCAGCAATGGGCTGAGGACGAAGCATTTGAGAGCGTGGGGTGGGCAGGAACTCCACTCAGCTCCAACCAGCAGGGACAGTCAAGGAGAAAACAACAAGGCACCTTGCAAAAACATGACCTCGATATTGTGCCAGGCTGGTCAAGGAATAGAATGTGTTGTCCTGACAGCAGAACTTGGTGCTTGTGATAGTCACTTGTCATCCAGAGTAAATGGCAAATCAATGCAGACCTTTTCCTGAGGAACACGTGGTGTAAAAAGGACGGATCCTGCATTTACCACCAGTGATGAGAAGCAGGCCATTGCTTGCAAGCCACTGGTCGACAGGTGTTGTTAAGCTGTAAGTGCTGCTGGGTATTTGGGCACTGGGTCTTGGAAGAGGAGATGAAATGCTTCTATTCCTCCTATCTTGTCTGGTTTTCTGCTGTGTAACTTTAAAACTTATACTCTGTTACAGAGCTGACTACACTGTTCACACAAACTCCTTACTAGTAGATTTCTTTATTTGGTTCTTACTGAAAACTCTGTGAGAGATATGATTTCAATACCACTGGCACCATTCTGGACTGTTCATGAGCAGTTTGCTACAACATACTCTAACCCAGGATAGAGTGAGTAGTGTAATGGCTCCATACAGACAGCACATATGCTAGTTTATTAGCAGGAAGAGTAGCTATTTACCTGTTCATCTTCACTGTCTGTCCCACCTAAACTCAAAGAGCTATGACGTTGAACAGGGTTGGAGGACTGTGGGATAAAATACAGAAGAGGGTAAGTCAAGGGAAGGATCACAACAAATCACCTGGGACTGGGTGTGCAGCATTAAAATTATGACAAAATACAAGAGGAAAGTTATGGGAAGGGTGACTGCAAAGTCCCTGCCTCACAAAATACCTCTCATTTGTTCACTGGAGACCAGACATGAGGTAGGGAACTTTATCCTGCTACAACATATGCCTTAAAGGTTGACCTCAAAGAACCATAATGCTCTGCTGGGTGTACATGCAACAGGGCAACGTGCACTTTAATGAGGAACTGAACCAACACATTTTTAAAAGTTATTTTAGTTTTTGGCTTATTGTTTTAAGAACTTTGAATTGACAAATGCTTGCATACTCACTGAAATCCAAAATCATGCACCTGCTGTAGAAAGGCTATTCATAAGAAAGATAACTCCAAGACTCTCTTGGAGTCCCATCAACACCTGTTCTCATCATACTCATGAGATTCTAACTTACCAGTCAATTCAATTAACATTGCCCTGATTCTGAACTATTTCATTCTAAAATCAGTAACTGTTTCAGATTCTTCTGCAATCCCATTACTTTTGTTTTCTCTATTAGCTTTAAAGCACCATAAATATCTTCCTCTTTCATATGTGCAGGAAACTGCCAATCTGTCCAGCTCTTTGGTGCTCAGAGACATGGGAAGTCTGCACAGCGTGTGTATCTCAGCTTGTTCTCAGGTTTGGAGTGGGACAGCCACACTAACACAACGCTCACCCATGAATACTTCACTTTCTATGCTTTCTGCCCTGTGGACCTGCCTTTCCCAAAGGCATTCAGAGATGTCCTATCAGCTGACATACTCTCCTCTTTCCTTTATGATATAGGTTGCAACTGCCCCAGATGAAGTCTACATAATGCCCAGAAAACTGTACTTGTATCCTTCACAGTGACGAGTCCCCCATACTTGTAGATAACTCATTCTAGCTGTGGCTGATGGGTACCATCACAAGACGCCTGGCAGCAGAAAGAGCTCTAAACCACCAGGCAGTTCATTAATGCAATCAGACTTTAATGAACCAAAGAATTACGCTTGTTCCTCATTCACAAATGTGTGCCTGAAATGGATGACTCCAGTGGTGTTTTACACAAACATCGTGTCTAAATACCATAGGATTACATAAACAGAACAAAAAATGGCATCGAAACACATATTTGTGTGTACGGAGGTTTAATCACAAGTGAACAAAAAGGCCTTTCCCTTTCTCAAACAGATTTTATTTTTTTCAGTGCAGAAGGTCACTAAAGTGATATAACAATTGTACCTTGCTTGGTGAATCGGTCAGAACTTCATGAAGGGTTGAAATGTCAGGAGGGCTTCGAGGTAATCCATCATCCTCCGAAACTGTGCCCGCATCTTCCGTTTTCTTTCCAGTGATAACAAGTGGAGGAGATCCAAGCCTGATGTTTTGCTGCAGCTGAAGCTGTGGTTAAAGAGCAATTTAGACTTTCAATGGCATAATCTACATTTTGGAAACTTTTATCCCAGTTGCTCCTATTAGACATGAGGAGTTTTTTTATTTAACAAAAATATCTGAAGCAACAAGCTATTCACAGAAGAAAAAAAAAAAAAAAAGAAACATTGAATAAATTTAATTATATCCATCAAGGATATATCCATCCATAGTCAGAACAGACTTCCATGCAAAACTAACTTAAAAATCACTTTTATTCAGTAAGTTATCCGAGACAAATTTCACCAGGCAAGAAAATTCATAGCAGTATAATTAAGTTTAGATTTAAGCTTAGGTTTAAAAATTCTCTAAATGATTACATGTGCCAGGACACCCAAATAGTCTCACAAAGTACTGTGAGCCAGCAGTCCCCAGCCCCAGGCTTATGAGGACAACTCTTCTTCCCAAAGCCATTCCAAATCCCATCAGGTTGTCACCATCCTCTGCCACACAGATCAGTAAGACCCACTTCCTACAGAAGGAGAACTTTACTCAATTTCTGGTCCACCCTAACGAGCTGCTTGTTTGTTTGCCTCAGCATCACATCCCGGCTCTGTCTACAGCAAGAATGATAACAACGGTTGTTCCTGACCAACTTTGTTTGTAAAGGAGTTTGGAGATTCTTTTCCAAGCCTGCACAAAAGAACGCCCTGGCAGGCCCTGACCCTTGAAAAGAAAACAAAGTCTGTAGCCTCACAAGGAGCCAGATGTTCCCTCAAACTAAAAAAGCTCCACACTCAGGAAACACCATTACCTGAACTCCTGGCTTAAGTATTTTGACTGTGTCAAATCTGGAATACAGACAAGGTCTGAGCAGCATTTTTGTGCTTCAACTAAGAAGACCTCAGATCCCCAGGATAAACATTTTTTTCTGGTTCTTTGCTTATTGAACTAACTTTGGAAATCCTACACCAAAATTTTATGCTGTTCTCAAAGCTATGCATTCACTTCTATCCCTTTAAAACAGATTTAAGCAGCTGTCATTCAGTGGGATTCATTTGTCATTCATCCAATAGCTAAAGCAGTTACACAGGGTAGCACAATGCCATCCTCAACCTCCAGGCCCCCAATTTAAATGGCTTTCCTTCCCCCTTACCCTGATCAGTCAAATAAGTATCACCAGTACAGTCTGCACAATCAAGACTGATGACAAACTGCACAAAGATTGCATTACAAGGGCAAAAAAATATGACAACAACATATATGTGCATTTAATGGGAAGGAACACACAGTCAATTTTATTCTCCTCTCTCTTCACAACTTCCCATCTCTGACTTACTAAATTTATTGCATGCAGACAGTAAAGTGGTAGGTGAGAAAATCTGAATTTGCAGTTTTTCTTCTACCAGTAGAAGTTAATCTACGCTGCTAAGAAAATATCTGCTTTTGTTAGTGCTTGGCTTTTAATCTGCCTACAGTCAAACACAAAACCAAGCTGTCTTTTATGGCTATGAAAGTAGTGCTCACAGTATTAAGTTACCATGCAGGATGACACATGGATGAGGAGAGAGCACAGGGAGCTGGAGATAGAATGAAAAGAGCTTTTTTTCCTCAGTGAAGTTCTATCATACACAAACATGACCTCCCCTGCTGCTCCTGTTGTTGTGCAAAAAATACCCTGAATTGAAGGCTGGCTTACTTTGCAGTCTCATGGAGGAACAAGTCTCTCTGTGCATCTTCTGTTTCTTAACATGTGATGCAACTGTGCTTTGCAACACGAAGCTCACGCTGGGCCAAGGAAGAATTTCAATGGCCTTTGGCTGCCTTATCAACAGTTTGTTTTGGTCTCTGGAAAAACCTTAAACTTTTATCTCAGTGCTCTGAGCTGGGTAACTATTTGAACGCAATTAACGTGGCCAACAGTTGATAAGGGAGCTGTCAAGGAGGGATCGGTATGTGCTTTGGAAGAAGGAAATGACCTAGCAGAATACAGTATCCTCTGCTGGCAGAGAACGGAAGAATAATGATATAAATAAAGCTGTCGTTAATAATGACCTGACATATCCATCATCCCACACACTTGCACAGACCCTGGTGCTAACGTGTACTGTGGAAAAAAAATGCAGCCAGAATTGGAAAAAAAAAAACAAAACAACCAAACCAACAACTCCAAAAAACACAGTACAGATAAGTGGCCTTAACCCAAAAGCAGCAGCTAGGAAGTAAAGAATGGGAATTCCATTGGAAGAAGACTTACTTACTAAGGAAAGATTCAGTTCACAGACTCTTGGACACATGTCAATTGCACAGTATGGGACCTGGACAAGGCTGAAAACACCACAACTGTTCAAAGATGCAGCTTCCAGCAAGCAGAACAGATCCAAGAGTAGAATTCTGCTTTGGATGCTTCAGTCAACAAAGATATGCAGCAGAGGCAACAAGCAACAGAGTTTCCTGGGAGACAACTAATAGAAGGCAGCACCACGAATGAGAAAAAGATGTTCTCACCTGCAAAGTTTTCACTCTTCCAGGTATGCATTCCTGAGATGACGTGTCACCTGCTGCACTTCCTGATGCAGACTCAAAAATGAAGACACTGTCATGGGACAAGGCTTTGTTTCCCATGTTTCCTTTGGGCCTAGAAGGAAGGAGGAGCAGTTAATGCCATAGGTGCAGCTCTCCAATACTTTTCCTTGCATGGTGATCTTAAAGAAAAGGGGGTGAGGTGCATCTCATTCAACAGCAAGCTAACTGACTGAGGTCATTGCTAGATGCTTCTACACCCAGGAGGGAAGAGGAAGAACTTTTTAGGATGCTAATTGAATGGAAGTGTCTATTTGAGGAGGTGAGCAGCATCAGCCTTGAACACACAGCCTAGTCTTTGTGGGCTAGAGAGGGAGTCCAGGGTGATATGTCAGGTGATGATGGCATTTAGTTCTTTCTCTCTGTATATATATCATAACAATTGTTTGGATCATCTTGAAGGTCTTTTCCAACCTAGATGATACATTGACTCTACTTGCATTTGCAAGAGAATTTCTGTATTTCTGTCTGGCAGCAGCAAAAAGAGCATCGGATGAAATACACGTAGAATTAACTGTAGATTTCACACAGATGACTCTTTTATGTGCAAACATTTGTGTGTGCGGCTCCAGGCAGTGTATTTTTATTTGCACTGAAGTAAAAGACACACTGTTAGTTAAACCCCTAGATGTTTTAGCTGCTTTATTTCCAGCACTGCTTTCCCTGTGCAAAAGCTCAACTCATTCACGTGCAGCAGCCCTGAAGCTGCTGTGCCTAAGGACACGATGGGGCTTTCAACCCAGTGCCTTCACATTGCCATCAGGGAAGCTTTTCTGTTTCCATTCAAAACTCACACCTCTCAGAAAACTAAGAGGTAGTGGCACATTATGCCCACTTCTCCTTCACAGACGACCAACCTCACTGATTCCCTGCAGCACCATGGCATTTGGTACATCTGGGCTTCAGTCTCTGGATATTATTCAAAAAAGACTGCATGTTAAATGAAAACAAAAAGGAGGAGGAATGGGAAGAGTAGGAGAAGGAGGAAAAAGAAGCAAAACAATACTTCTGTCTTAAGAACAATAAACACCAAGACTGCTTTAGGATTGGCTTTGGTATTCAGCATGCCAGGAATTGCAAGGCTCAGGACCTGACTACAGACCCTTCAAAGCTGTACTTCCACTGGCTTTCAAGATCAGGTTTTCCAAACGATTTGTTCAATCAGCCTCTCTTGGTATCTATAAAGTGTGCTCATGTCATGCAGAGTCTGGACAGGACAGAGTTGTCAAATAGCACAAACATACTTTTTTTTTTTTTTTTTTTTTATATAGTCCAACCAATCCTATGCCTAAGGGAAAAAAAAAATGGAGAGGTTTTACTCACTTCTTGATCTCTGGTCTTATGAGACAGTTTTAAATCACTGGAGAGCAGGGAGAAGAGGACTGAGGAAAAGAGCAACTGGACTTGGAGAAGGGCAAGAGAAACGTGTTCTCACTTACACAGTCTCTGAAGCAGACAGTTGACTTTAAGCCAGATCCCCCCTAAGGGCTGATGGGGTAAGCTCAGCCATTCCTAAACCTTTGGGACCAGGTTAGCTGAGTCACTACAATTACCTTTACCCTAAGGAGGGGTTGTGTAGCCAGTTACTTACTCCGTTAATATTACACTAACAAATGAAAAAAATAAATCATTGTTTCCTTAAACCCAAACTGTTTTTATGATGCAGTTGTATAATTACAACAGAGAGAGTGGAGAATGGTAGCACAAGGAGGCACAGGAGCCCTTAAGAAAGTAATATCCATAAGTTACTCCACCAGGAGAAACCAGTAACGTCCAGCTGCACCTAATATCTTTTTCAATGACACAGTGCACTTGGCAGCAATGCTGATTTCATGAGTCTCACACTCATGGCTTCTGCCAGTGTCTCATGCATCCAATGTCCCCTCCAACAACACACTGCAAACCCTGGGAGGTGATCGATGCACTGTCACACCTGGTCCATCCAGTCTGTAGCTCCACAATCCAAGGCCTAAGATACTCAAAGAGAGGCCTGAGTGGTTCACATGGAAGGAGGGTAAGGCTGGAAAGCAACCATGTTACAGGCTGCAAGATACTGACCTGTGACACCCCTGGTGAGAGATATAACCTTGTTCAGAGGGCTGCCCTATTCCAGAAATAGAGCCAAGCAATCTAAGTGTTGTTGCAGCCTATGATACATCTCATAGATGGTCTATGGTTATAGGTGAAGCACTATTACCAGTGCAAGTTAATAGTTTCCATTTAACTAAGCGAAAAAAGGACAATTTTCTGAACTGACACCATTCCGGGACCAGAGAATTGTTCTGGGCACAAACTTCACTCATATGCACAGCCCTTCATTGTGGCTGACACAAAACTAGAGGCCTTCTATTGCTCCCTGTACCTAAATGGTTGTGCAAGAAAGTTAAACTAAGCAGCATTTTCATACCGAGAACACATAACTCTTTCTTTTCCCTGATCCCAACCAGAGGGCACAATTTATGCTAAAAAATAGCAGCTCAGCTTGGCATGTATTCCCTGCGCTGCAGTATTCAATCATTCTCCTCTTGTAAAGCTGATGATTATCAGACCTTCCAGGACAGATTTCAAAGACTAAAACAGATCAGAACAATCTGGGCTGTATTCAGTTTTACAGTCTACAGGGTTGGATCACCCCCACCCCTGGCTGCCCTCCCCCTCTCCTCCATGTTGGCTTTTGAAGCAAGTAGCAAAGAAAGAGGAAATTCCTGGAATTCCTTCATCAGCATTAGGGCTTGTTTTGCTCAGACTTGGACGGAGGCTGCTCCTAAGGGGCCAACTTGTGCTTTCATACTATTGCAGCAAGAGGTCTGCTTTTATTTATTTATTTTCCTTCCCCGCCAGCTTACCCAGCCTCCTTCGGTGAATGAAGTGTGTTAGCATCGAGCACGTAGATGCTGACATCCCTGATGGACTGGCTAGGTTTTAAGTTACCCTCCCCCTTGGGAGGTGAAGGTTCTTTCCTTTTCTTCTTGGCAAAGAAGTTCTTGAAAGTCTGAAATCTGGATTTTTTCTTTCCTGCAACATGAGAGAAATGAAAATTTACGGAAGTTGGAGGTGTTGCTTAGCGTGGAGAATGTTTGTTCTTAAATTCTGGAGGAAGCCTGTGGAGAGCCATGAGCAGGAGCAGCCCATTCAGTTCTAATCAGCTGCTTTGTAAATAATTCAGTGCTGGAGTCCTGTGAAAGGTGAAGCTGCAGTTCTTAGACAGGCTGCCTATAAAAGAAACGCTGGCCTTCAGCTGACAATGGTGCTGCCTACTTAGGTTCCAGTTTATGAAAAATGCACCTTATGTAGAGAACACCTCCATCTACAACTGAACAGTGATAACACAAATCGTACTCAGTATAGTTTCGATAAAAAAATATTTTAAAATCTTTCACTCTGAATGTCTTTAGTTTGCTTTGTTTATTTCTGCTTTTTCTTTACTCAGTGCTGTAAGGACACAAAGAGAATTTAAAAACCCTAAAACAAAAATATCTGTATTGCTCCAAATTAAAATCAGCTCCTCCAAGATCTATGGAGCAAGCTGAAATAAAGATGCTCACCTGCAGGATGTGAAACCCCCAAACACAGCAGCTCTAAGAACATAGTTACGAAACTGTTGAGTTGATTTCAGATTTTCTACTGTTGTTGAAGTGAAAAGAAATACAAAAAGAACAGCACAGACTGTAAGAGACATAATTGACGTCTTTCATTTCGAATAAACTAAGATATTTTATCATTATTATTTACATTTTCTTTCAGTGCACAAGAGCTGCATTTTATTTGTCAGTGACTCTTACACTGAAGGGTTGGTTTGGAGTGGTCTGGGCCAAGCTATTGTACCAAGACCCTTGTGGTGGACATAAATGCATATGCAGAGCAATAACATCACTGCTTATCAGAGCCAAGGTCATTGTTCAATTAATACTTTACAGCAGTTGGCATAATGAATGTTCACAGCTGGAAGATTCCTGAATAAGCAAGGCATTCTTTCCACAGTTATTGTCTTTTCCCAGTGAAGATTTAGTCAGCAATGCTCCGTCTCAACGTGTGCCCTGTGCGTGTAGGGATTTCTGCCAACAAGCCTTATCAGGGCTGAAACTGTGCCACCACACAGCTGCATCACACACCACACAGTAGCCACTTTGAGAAGGAAACAACGATGCTGAGATCTGCTCCCCCATCTCCTCGTGGCTCTCAGGCCCAGTGCCAGCAACATGCATCGTGACATACAAGAATGCAGCTGCCAAGGAAGACCTGCACTTTACTTTTCCACTGCTTTGGGCTGCCTCTGGCTCTGAGCTGTCTTTCAAACAGTACAGTGTAAAACTGCCAATGGATTCCTGCTCACCTAATGACGAGATGTGGAGCTCCCATGGAGGGTTTATCAGCAGAAGATCTCAAAAGCTGCTTCTCAGACAGTAAGTGAACGAGGTAGTCATGGAAAACAAACAGGATAAATTGACTCCCTCGTACTCCGGAGCTGAGCACAAAGCTTTTGGATTTAAGACCCTCATGGAGCTCAATGAGTTTCATGCTGGGCTCAGAGAGAGATGGTAAGAGAAGACAGATGACACAGCAATCAGAAGAGCATCGTGCCCACAGAGAACACAACTGTGTTGATCGAGACTTTAGAGTCTTCAGAAACACCTCTCCATCATTACTGCCATTCAAGCAGCAGTGACACAACCCACATGGCATTCTCCCAGCAAATCTGACAAAGGGGAATTGGTTTACACTACATGAGCAAAACAAAGATTAAACTCTTTCATAAAGCAGTGTCCCAAAATTACCAGTCCAGCAATGCCTGCAAGCGCAATCTGAAGCCTCAAAGAGCAGAAAAGCAAACTTGGCTGCATATGGAGAGCTGTCCTACACCAGGCAGCCATCAGTGCTATGGACAGTGTGAGTATTACTGATGAGTGCAATTAGAGGCTAGTATTTCCAGAAGCAGCAGGTGAATGTTTGGAATACAAACAAAAAAACCACCACTACTAACAACAAAAAAAGTGATCCTAAAAACATCTAAGGGAAAGATACAAGAGAAACAGATATTAAGACCTACCACAGAAGAGAACATTGTCAGGGTACTACTCCAAACACTTCTTTAGGTCAGAAATGATGCTAGCTTTGGAAGAGAGACTATGGAAAGGATTTGAGACCACCGCCACTTAATAAACCTCAGCTGGCATGGGACAATACCTGGGTACTGGTGCACAACATGGAGTCCTCCAGTGCAGACACACTTGTTACTTCCGTGCCTCCTCTAGACTCCAGTGCACTACTGATGTCAGGGCACACTCCTCCAGCAATAACTCCTCTTCAGCTGCATTCTGCTCAGCTGCATATCTTCAGCTGCTTCAGAGTGAGAAACGCCACGTTCCTCTCAGCTCCAAAGGATGGGCAATTGCCATATTATGGCATGAGAAAGATGACTTTGCTGTGCAAAGATGGAAACCATGGGACTGCTCTGCACTGGAGCATTTGATAAAGAAGACACCATTCAGAAGGATCATATCAATGTCCTGCTGCAAACACTTGTGTATTTGTTCTGCACGCTGTTGATGGCAGCGGTACATTTCCTTTATAGGTATCTACATTTAAGTGCCCTGTGATAAGGCCAATATATCATTAAATTGGTAGAGTGCTCTATGACAACTCAACTAATGATACACACAAAGATCTTACTGCTTAAAATGGAAGAAAGTTGTTGTATAACAAACATCTAGTCAAAACAGGGTGAAAAAACCCAAGCTCAGACAACTGCCTATTCCCCACTCACCCACTGAGAGATATTGACTCATCATTTCCAAACGCTTGCAGTTGCCAAAATTCCATTTTAAGGCATTAAAAATAAAATACTATATTTAAAGGCTACTGTCCTAACAAGCAAAAGCCTTCCTAAAAATGAATTGCTTATTCTAACTGATTGAGCTCATTAGCTTATGATAAGAAAAAAGGAGCAGGGATAATCACCTGCTTTCTCTATAAAGTTTATTCTTTTGTTGCTTTTGTTGTTGCTTTTTTTTCCGTTTGTCCATTGCCTCTTTCATTGCTTCTCCAATGCACTGAAAGAATCAACACTCTCTCTGCTCACTGCATGCTTCTTTTCCATAACACAGAAAATAAGAAGCAGCTTTTTCCAGTGTAAAATTGAGACTGTAAAAAGCAGAGGGAGTATCTGACTTGGGAGCTCAATGATCATATTTAAATGAAACAGTTCATTCAGAGATACTCCCTTCTCTCTGACTTCCTAAGGTGTGGTCAGGGCACGCTTTCCTTTTTTTTTTTCCTCCAAATCTAGTAGATATTTTCACCAATAAAAGTGCAGGATTGAAGACAAAGAAACCAACCAACAAAACAGGCAAGATCCTCATAAGATGCCATTATTCTAGCTTCATTTCAAGCACTCAGCATTGCCAGACAGGCAATAAAATCACGGAATTCAGCAAAGCTAGCACTGGATGCTGGTAGTTTGTAGACAGCTATGCTCTGCTTGAAAGGAGCAGCACGCACTAAAAGCCCTGTAAAACCAGTCAGACAACCAGGGAAAGCCCAACAAATTAATCCAATTGACTTGACTGTGAAGGCTGGGAATTTCAGCCCCCAAAGCCTTTGGGTCACTGAAAGCTATGAAGAGGAAGAGGTGAGACAACTCTACACGGGATGTAAACAGGATATTTTAAAAAAGCAAGGTAGGATTTTTCAGGTCCAGTCAAGTGTCCCTTGAATAATTCTGTAATAGTGCAGCAAGTTTTAACTTTCTTGAGGTTTGGTTCAGTTGGAGACAGAAATGTCACTGTTTTTCTTAGAGCCAACACTCAGGACAGCAAGGCATTTCCTGCCTTCCTTGTCACCAGGGTCAAAATTTGATCTGTTTCCTGAACACTAGCAAACTAGCACAAAATCTGCATATGTGGGTTTTCTCACAAGGTCACCAGTGTATCACGAACAACAGCGGCCAATGTGGTAAACTAGATTACAAATTTAGGAAACTGGCTGCTACTGAGCATCCAACATCACACTACCTTCACCCTTATCCATCTGCCATGTAAGGTTCAACTACCAGTCCCTTTGCCATTTGCTTCTCTTCTACCAATATTCTTCAGGCAGCAGATGTATTTCTAAAGAAAGAAGCAAGATGATTTTTGAAGCACTGAAACACTGAAGAAGATCGTGAAATGTTAGTCAAGGGAAAAAAAAACCTATCAAGTGGTATGATAGTCACTGCTGAATGCCTCAGCTTTCGTGGTATTCTTTGTATTTGCTTAGCTTCCCAACACCAGACTGAACATTAGCACAGGGGACTTGCTTTAATTAAGGCAACTCTGGTGTAAGGTATTTCCTCTTCCTTCAGATTATTCCATTCCCTCATGGCTGTTTGCATCAGCCCATGCCACTAGTTGACAAGATAAGCAACAAATGGCTGTCTGTGCCAGGCTGCAGCAGGGCACTCACAGCTCCCACAGACAGCCCCAACACAGCAGAGCTGGTTCATAGCATCCGTCATCACAGCAGACACAACAGCCAGCTCTTCAAGCTCCAGTGTCCTGTCTTCTGAAAATCCAAGGCAGAACCAGAAAATAACCAGAAAACAAGTCTCCAGTAGGGCACATTAAATGCCTTTCCTATAATATTGCCAGCTGACAAAGCCACACAGAAAAACAGTCAAAACAGAACTGCAAACCAGGTCCGTATAGATGGCCCTCTAACCTGAAGAAAACAAGCCTTGGCTTCCAAATCAGCTATACAAGCAGAGAACTCCTGCTTACCTGTGTACTCTTCGGCTGTCTCCCCTGGTTCAGGTGACTGTATGACATCTGTTGGCCCCGTAGCCATGATATAGTCACTGAAATGGAGATTAAAGTATTAGTGAAATTTTAGTCCACCTTCCCTGCAGACTGTGATCCCACCTCACTTGAAGAAAGAGTGTGGCTGGATCCTTTCTAAAGCTGCAAATGCTCATCACAAACAGGGCTCACACACTTATTTTGTTTCTCAGCCACAGAACTCTTTTTCATTAGCACTTATTTCTCCGGTCAGAACTAATAGAGCAGCCTCACGTCATGCCAGCACCTCTCTCTTCTTGAGAATCCAGGATCAAAGTTTGCATCTAAAGAAAATGCCAGCAAGGTCTGTCACGCTCCCCAGTGCCTGAATCACGAATCTTTATGCATGCTGTTTGCTACAGACTGACAGCTCCATGCACAGTTCCACGTACAAAGCATCTCAAGTAAGAGCTCTGCCGCCAGGGTTGGCGTATTACAGTGCCCTCACAGCAGGCAGCCTGTCAGCATTATTAAAATTAGTTAAGCATCAGCACTGAACCATCATCCTGGGCTATGCTACATTTGTGGAAACCAATAGATCAAATTTATTTTGGATCCAGTGCAATCAGCTTTTAGCCACAAGCTTTGAAACCTTATCGCAAGCTGGGCTATTGATCAACCACATTAGCTGATGGCATCATCTTCCTCTCTGATGAAAACAAAAGTTCAGCCTAGTTTTAAGATCATTCAATGTTAACTGGCTCCACTTTGTATTTTCCAAGGCTCCTAAAAGGGCGTCTGTCAGAAACAAAGGAACGAAGCAGCAGACCGCAAGAGTGACAGTACAAATGTCAAGCAACAATGGCAACGTGACAGTCCTGCACAGCAGCTCATAAATACTGTCCTTTGTTGGGGAAGATCCCTGAGTGATACCCTTACACAGCAAGCAATTCCGACCTGCTGTGGCAGGACTTTCAGAGGAAGAAATCTTTACAAACAAAGGAAAATACCCACACACAAATCCTGCCCACTTTTCTGCGTGGTCGGACAATTTTCCACTTCAAAGCGGTACACTGCTGCCAACTTAAGTTGCTTAGGTGTCTGCTTGGCCAGTTAGGAAACTATTGGATTTTTTCTCTACCAGTCACACCTCCAATCTGTCACACCGGAAAGCACCAGCGCTTCTCCCAGCCCACGGACAGCCCAGCACTTCAGAGAACCTCAGATAAAACGAGGAGTGCAAAGGCGATGGGACTGGCGATGGGCTGCGGCTTTCTTCTGCTTCAGTTCATCTTTAGCAGTGGCCACAGGAGTGCATTAATCCAAACAATCTCATCTCACCTTGCAAAAATACGATGAAAGTCACTGCAGGACCAGGATTGGTTATACCTTTTCTAAATAAGATGCACTGAAGAGAGTTTTGAAACAACTGTTAAATAGTATTCAGAAGCAACCATAAGTAAGACTTCTAAGATTTTTGCTGTTGGATAATGATAATCACCCAGCACTTCTCCGTTTTACCCTCAGGTTTCATCAGCTATCCTTGGAAATGTCTGCATCTCCTGTGCATTTCAACCTTCTCATGCAGACTCTGTGTTAAGAAGAAATTCTGATCCATTTTTTCCCCTTGATTTACACGTATGCAGATTGATGTTCTGATTTTTCTTTATGGAAAGGAATTTGAAATAAAGCATCAAGGAAGCACTCAGTGAATGCACAAGGACAAACAGGCAAGTCCCCACTCTTGGGCTTATTTTCACAGAACACGAGTGGCTCTGACATTTGGCTCATCTGCACCCTAACTTCTGATTTGCCCACCTTTAATACAATGAAAACGTTTGAGATCCAGGTTTGTTTTTGCTGGCTCTACATTTATTTAAATCACTCCATCATCGTAGCTGCTCCCATCAGTCCATGAAGACACTTTGACTGCCACACGTATTACAAGTGCAAGCATTTATTTCCATTCGGTGCACCTTTTATAGCAGTAGAACTATAAGTGCAGGGCAGTTCGGCTCCGAGGCAATCTCTTCACAGGCAAATCAGCTCCTGCACTAACTCAATTTTACAGCTGAGTTCTCTGGGGCATATGGAGGTCAAGTGTCAATTGCAAGGGTACACTGCCTGTCTGCAGAAGTGCCCTCACTGAGGACCCAATGGAGCCTTTGTAGACCTGATCACTGCATCATCATTCCAGCGAACCAAACAGTGACTTGAGGTGAGGGAAACATCACAGGTTTTTCCATGCGGTTAGTGTGACAAGCACTTAGATGACAAAAAAATTACAGTATTTACAGAGGAAGTGTAAGTTCCATCATTAAAAGCTTGATGATGCAGCTGAAGGAAAGTTAGCATTTAGATGGTATTTAGATGTCAAATTCTGGTGGCAGTGTGTTTTATTTTACAAGAGAAAAGCCAGCAACATTTCTGGGCAACAAATCCTAGCCTAGGGATTAATGTCATGGAGAGAAAGAGGACAAAAACTCATCAATACTGATCCATGTGAGTGCACAGGCATTAACTGGTTGAACCCTCAGACATTGACCACTGCCAGCCCTTAATGACAGCTGCCAGACGCAGTGCTGCATGTGGCCAGGACGTATTGATACTGCATGTCCATTTCAATCAGCTGCACTAACCACATGCACCCTGCACGCTCCCCCAGAGCATCACACCATGAGACAACGTTTTAAACAAATACCATACACTCACTGACTTTTAGTGAGAGAAGTATTGGGTGAAATGAATGGCCCTTTGGAGCAGCATTTTTGGTGCTTGTGTGGTGAGATGCAAAGGGACAGCTGGGAGAAGGAGTCCACCAGAAGGCAAAGCAAAGGAATACAACAATACAACCCCCACAAGGTTGCAGGGCTTGCTTTATTTCAAAGCAGGCAGCAGGAGCTAGCTGGTAATCACTGCTATGCTCACCTGGTTTGGTGATTTGGATCTGGGCTCCTTTCTGTCCTATATCCAGCTTCCATCCATCACTCTACTGCAGTGCATTCACCAGGAGCTCTTCAACTCGTGAGAAGAACTAATCAGTCTGCAGAGAAAGCTCTGCCCATGAACAGGAGAAGCAGCCTTGCCTCTCTTTCACCAACTGGCAGATACTTGGAATGCTCTGCAGTGACTGGGCGCAAGAAATGCAACCCCAGGAGAGTTCTCTGAACGTTCCCTTTTCCTCAGCTAAGTACATCACCTGAATATGTGTATCACATGGGGGGAAAATGCAAAAAGAAAAGACAACTCCCTTCCATTCCTTGGTTTGTGTACTTAAGCAAGCGGCTCCTGGGAAATCAGCCCTGTACAGCACCCAGGTTTCCTGCACTTAACAAAAACCCAAGACAAAGAGAAGATCTCTGCTCAGCCCCAGAGAGGGACACTTTGTGCAGCGAGATGGCTCAGCACAGGGGAACACATGCCCCCATACAGACCTCCAGGCAGCAGCCATGGCCAGCATCCCCCAGCGCACGGCTCTCCCCTGAGCGCTAGGCCTCACAAAAGAGTGGGATGTAAGACAGGTATGCGTTCAGGTTACGTTCTTCAGTGAAAGGTGACCGGTTAAATTTTTACTCTTCTAATTAAAGCACGTTGGAGGACTTTGTTCTGACAAAATGGGGTTGATTGCTTCTTCCCTGGGAACCCTACAAGCCAACTATCAATGGACTCGCTTAACACACTGATAGTAGGCGCAGCAAAATTCTGTCTTCAGTGTCATCTCTGTAGCCCCCCTAAAGGGGATTTCAGGGGATTCACAAAGCAGAACCAGAGCCCATGAGATTTCTGTTCCATTTGCACATCCCTTGAGTCTATCAAAAACAAGGTTTTGTTGGTCTCTGTACCCAGAGCCAGAACCTGGCCCATCAGGGACACATTGAGCAGCGTGGGACCCACAGACAACTCTGTTAAAAGAGAGCACTGACCTCACACAGCTCATCCCACTAGATGTACTCTTCCAGAGCTCAGTGTTTCTAGGACAAACTGCCCATCTCTGACCCACAAGATGGTTTTGCCAGGCCACAGCTGGCATCACTGCAGCCTGACTGTGGCTACTTTATGTAGGCACAAGAGAATGTAGGCACAAATGGAAGCTGACTCAAGGACTCTTGCTTCTGTCTCCGCTGATGATAGTGAGAGCTAGGAGTTTACAAAGTTAATGAATACTGCTCGCATAATTCTACAGAGAGAAGAAGAGCTTAACAAAGGTTAAGGCCCTTTTCAAAGGATCACAAGTAATACAATAATAGTAGTCTTTAGGAAGTCTAGATAAGTAGCTTATCAATACAGCATCAATAAAAACGCTCTCCCAGGGGTCATAATTCTTCACAGCATCAGAAAAGAGCCAGCTGCTCTCCTCAAAGAGATACCCAGAGCAAACAACGTTCACATAAAGAGATGCATTCACAGCTTTCACCCTGCACTCAGCCAACACCCGCTCCCCCTGCCCCATCCTCACACCTCAGCTTCCCAGCGAAGGCTTGCCAGAAGACAGCTCCCAGCAGGCTGAACTCACTGTACCTATAGTCTGCTTTGAGAAGCCTCTGTCTGACTGATTCTGAAGGATTTCTGCTGTTCAGCAGCGCCTGAAGCAATATGTGCTGCCCTCCCGGCGAGTGTGTGTGTAACACTAATGGAAAGCAGCTGGTGGGCTGAAGCCGACTTCAAAAAAAAAAAAAAAAAAAAGTAGCAGGAGGAAATGCCTTTCATACAGTCACACAGGCTCAGACTGTAATTGTGTGAGAAGCCAAAAGGATAGGAAGGGGGAAGGGCAAATGACAAAAACTATTTATAAGCTACGAGAGAAAACACGGCGGCAATGCGCTGTCAGCAGCCTTGAACCGAGGGGCTCAGTGCTCTGCCCTGCCCTGCTCCCCAAGATGCCCTCACTCTCAGCACTAAACCACTGCAGCATGGCCTCCATGCAAACAGGGACATGGCTGCAGTGTACGGATGTGGACCTGTGTTAGCTTAAACCAGAGCAGTACCAGCAGCTGAGCAGCTACCGATCTGCTCTTAGCTCAGAGGTCCCACTGATGTCGAGCTTTGTGACAGCTGGCATCTGTACCAGCCATGTCAAGCGGCTGCCCTTGTGCCCCTAATTACTCTGCAATGCTCATTAGCAGGACACTGTGCTGCCGCTGTCGGTGTGGGGATCCCTATGGCATGCTTGCATCAGCACAGACAGCAGCACTAATATCCACCTGCTTACCAGGAGCTAAGCCAAGAGCTGCTTTTCTGACAGTGATTTATAGCACCGTTTTTCCAGTGCACTTTCTGGTCTGTACAAATCAGGAGAAACATAAGAGAAATTTGCTCCAGTCAAGGCCAGCACTCACCCAGTCACTCACTAAGCACACGCAGGGCTCAGCCAGCACTTTGGACCCAGATGGACTCTCCAGAAGAGGATCATGCATCAATTGCCCCAGCTGAACTGCACCATTTGGCATCAGCGTAGCAGTAAGTCAGTGCCTTTCCCATGTAGTAATTCTTCTTTACACTGCAGAACAGCTGGAACAAGGATCTTCCACTTTTCCTAGCAAGAAGCAACAGAGGCAGCAGGCAGCCAGCAACGGCTAAAGGAATGCAGAGGCTGCAGGCAGCAGGAGCTCCCTCAGATCTGCTGCCATGGGTACAGCCGGTGAGCTTGGGAAAGGGGGGGGACATGCATTGAACACAGAATCATACAATCAGTTGAGTTGGAAGGGACCTTTAAAGGCCATCCAGTCCAACTTCCTGCACTGAACAGGGACACTGACAGCTCCACCAGGTGCTCAGAGCCTGTCCAGTCTGACCTGCAGTGTCTCCTGGGATGGGGCACCATCTCCTCTCCAGGCAACCTGTTCCAGTGCCTCATTACCCTTATTGTGAAAAAACTTCCTTACATCCACTCTAAATCTCCGCTCTCCTAGTTTGAAACCGCTTCCCCTTGTCCTGTCAACACAGACCCTGCTCAAGAGTCTGTCCCCTTCCTTCTTACAACCCCTCTGGATACTGACAGCCCGCTCTCAGGTGTCCCTGGAGCCTTCCCTTCTCCATGCTGCACAGCCCCAGACCTCAGCCTGTTCTCACAGGGAGGTGTTTCATCCGTCAGATCATTTTTGTGGCCCTGCACCAGCAAGGATGCAACAAGAGACAGCTATGGAGCTGCTCCAGTAAGAACCACTGCCTCTGGAAGTGTCCCCAAGCAGAGCAGCAGGAAGCAATGTCACCACCCCATGCCTTCAGCCTCTCAGTGCAGGAGTCAGCTCCACAGACAGGCCAGGCTGTGCACCTCTGCACTGCTGCATTCAAACCAAATCCACATGGGGGTGGGCATCTTTGGCCACTGCTTTCTAGTTAGCACTTTGTAAGAGTGCTACGCTCCTGTCTTTGGATCCCTGCTTATTCTCACAAAATGTGAGGCATCATTACATCCTAGGCCTGGAAGAGGCTGGGGACGTTTTTAACAAATTAAGTTGTCTGAGCGTTGCAGGAAAAAAGGGGCTGAAACAGTAGCCAACGGAAGGCCAGAACTGAAACACAGGACTTCAGGCTATGACTGAAGCTCTACTTTTTTTCCAAAACAGTCCCTTATCCCTCACTTTGTGGGCTGAAGAACAGCTTAAGGATAGGAAAAAAAACATCAGATAGCTCACACTGTGCAGGGCACACTGCTTTCAGGATGAGTTAATGAAGACATTACATGCCCAGGAATTTAAAATGCACTTAAAGAACAACAACAAAGAAAGGAGTGACTAACAGAAATGTCCCGGAGTCACTGTGTCACAACACTCACTCTGTGGATCCAACTCCCCAAACAATGCAGCCAGCTCTAGGCTAGAAGAGCAAAAATCAAACCAGGCTCTGCGGACTCGGACTGCCTTTGGCAGGAAGCTCAGGAAATCGCTCCATGTGAAGTCCCAGACCCAGCAGGGCAACATCTATTGGCTGTGCACATGTGAAAATAAAGAAGGCCAGTTCCGTTTTGTGTTGAAACACACTGTCTGGCTAAACCTCATGGCCTTCCACTGCTTCTGGAATTCAGACCCCATTTTGGCTGCTGACCTTAATCAGAGCCAAAGGAAGCCCTGGGACAGCATCCACACTTGTGAGAGGAGAAATTCTGCAGCTCTGTGTGACTCCAAGGGTTTCCAGGGAAGCTCCCACTGCTCCTTCCAGCCCCAGAGGAGCACCCTGTGCAGCACAGGAGAGCTACCAGAGCCAAGGGAGGTCACCCATGTGCTTCATAGATTCATAGAACCACAGAATCATTCAGGTTGGAAAGACCACTGAGATCATCTAGTCCAACCACCAATTCATATGTGAGACTGCTCTAGGCCATGTCACTCCGTGCAACATCCACCTCTTTCCTGAGCATCCCCAGGGACGGTGACTCCACCACCTCTCTGGGCAGCTTGTTCCAATAACCCACCACTCTGAGAAGTTTTTCCTAATATCCAACCTGAACATATGCTGGTATAACTTTGAGCAGTCCCCAGGTCACTTCTGTCCCCAGGCTACTGAGTGCCTGTTCTCTTTAGAGCAGCCACTACAAAGGGGACATACTCTGAGAGTCCATTTACACACACTCCTCTAAAATCAGAGCATCTCAGCCAGTGCTGGTGTGCACCAATAGAACAGCAAGTTGCATTTAGCTTGAGGAAGACATCAGGGAGCAGAGAGGGTATCCAAAATGGTTGAAATCCAGTAGGGTGACACCAAAGAGGGCAAGGACCACAAGAGGGTACTGACAAGAGGATATTTTGGCAGAAGAGCAGATAGGGCCAGGCATTCTGTAAGATCTTAAGTGGCCAAGCGCTGCAAGAAAGGAAGCAATTAGACAATTTGCATTTTATGAAGGAAAACAATGAAATTTCAACTACTGCAATATTCTTTTCACTCAGCTGAGAGAAGGAGAAGCAATTTGCTAGAGTGACTCAGCAAACAACTCCTCTACACCTCGGTCAGGCTGTATTTTCCCCAGGTGCAGGGACAGCTTGAGGATTAACACGATGTCTGCAGCACGGTGCTGAGCCAGGCTCTCACATACACCCCCTCATGCCTGAACCTCTGCAGGGATCAGAGCTGTGCTGTTAGGTGAGATACTTACAAAGCCTGGCAGAAGCACGCAGTTACATATTTCTTAGAATGAATAAGCACAAATGAATTCATCGCGAATAAAAGTCAAACATTCAGTTCTCTAATTAGCACCAGATCCTTGAAACTCTGAGGCCAAAAGAAACAACCACAACAAAAAATTGGAGCTGGAACACTGCCTTAGCTCTGGCTGAACGGTCAGAAAGTAGAACCTTTGTCTGCATGGCAACGTTCCCCTGCTCCAGCTGAGCATGCTGTTGTCCCTCCAGCCATGATGCGACCACCAAGGTGCTACAGCATGGTGACAGGCCATGTGAGACCCTGGTACTCGTGCACCCATATGAGTGCAGTAGCACGCACCGGTGCAACACAGTTAAAGGATGAGCGAGGATACATGTGGCCCAGCCTCTGCTTCTTCGTGTACCTTGCACTGGAAGCACTGCACTGCTAGCACAGCGCTGACTGCTCACAGCATGATGAGCAGCGACAGCACAGCATCTGCACGCAAAATCAGACAGGATATGAACTGACTGGCTTTAATTTGTATAAACAGTGACGCCCACAATGAAACCTTGGAGGGCCACCTGCTACCTCAGTACAAATGATTGTTATTACTGCTACTACAGCATACGAACGAATCAGAAAGCCTGCAGTTAATGTTTCCTGTATTCAAAACACTTCTTAAAACCCCTTGATGTATAACAGTTGAAACAAAAACAACTTAACTCAGAAATACACGCTTTGATAACTTTCAAGTGGGGCTTTTGGAAAGAATCGAGGCATTTCATGCTCAAGTGTATTCTTACAGCAGCAACCTGTAAGAAAAGAAAAGCAATAACAACCCAACCTTGAAATTCCCTTGAATTTTCACCCATCTCCCCATCTCAGCACTGCCCAGGTCTGGCTGGCAATCAGCTCTCGCTGTCCTACATCGCTCAGGTAAGTTATCTACTGGAAGCACAGCTTGAAGCTAGTTCCTTTTTGTCTGAAGTATCTGTAGCCAGATTTCAGCTTCTAAGGCCAACTCTAAGCCTTTGCATCACAGCTATTACATTTTCCAGACCTCTGTACAGGAAGAAAACAACAAATCAATCTCTCTCTTTTGCTGAAAGGGTACAAAGCCAGACACTCTGAGTGGCATAAGGAGAGAATATGAGGTAAAAGTATGGCAAGATGTTTTTAGGGTTCAATCTGGCAAAATAAAGTAGACAAAAACTCCAGCCAAATGGTGCAGAAGAGTGAAAAACACATTCAGCAGATTGTCCCAAGCCAAGAAGCTTCTACTCCAGTGGAATAGGAGCAGGACAGGCAGCGTTAGGGGTGCACCTCCAGCAGACACTTGGTATTGTAGTGACAGAGAGGGGGCTTCTGTGCTGAAACCAACCATAGGGGCACAGCTGCCTGGAATTCCTCTGCCTGCAGCCAGCAGATGCACCACATCATGATGGCTGCTTAGCCACCAGACACCATGCAGAGAGAAGTGTGAGCAGCAGGAGGACTGGCAGGGTGGAGTAATTCACTGGCCATAGTAAGACACAAGTGAACTTCTTTGCACAGGGATGAGTCAAAAAGAATGAATCAACAATTAGAAATAGTTGTTCTTTCTGTTAATAATATAGCACCACTGTACTAACTGTGCTCAACCGCCTGTGGTGCCATGGCTCTGCCACCTCCTGGCTGCTTTTGTTCACCCTCTCTATTATTCTTGTGTAAGAAAACAGGGCTTAAGTCTGAATGCTTTTAGTATTAAGCACTGAGCTGAGCAACCCTTGTGAGCTGAAGACAAAATGCTCACCAGTGTCCAAATGCTGGTAAATTGCCACGGACAGGAACAAGCTCATAGGTTGCACATTGAAAGATTCCCAAGGGATTATAATGCCTGGGGAGTCTTCTGTTCCATTCACCCTGTCTGATTTGGCCCCAGTGAAGAGAGCTCCCCACTTTCCAAAAAGTACATCCCTTCTCCAGTTCTTTCCCTCCTCTACCCTCCACACACCATTTCCTGAAACCAGGCACTGTCACCTCTGTCTGGAAATGAACAGCCTGAGAAGTGCTCCACATCTCAGTGTGTGCCAAGGAGCAGAGTGTGATGGGCAGTCTCCTGCCATAGCCCCTCTGCAGCGCTGTGGCTCCCAAAAACAAGATGCTGCAGGAAGCAAATGAGCTGCTGACAGTTTGGAACTGCCCTGCTCCCCACTTCAGTAGCACTTGATGGAGCTCTAAAGCACACCCAGTTCACTTGCAACAATGCCGCAGCACCTAAGCTGAAAATAAACTTCACTTGATGGAATGGTCATATCAGTCTACACTGACAATGACTTTCACCTCAAACTACAAATATATTGACCATTTTCCAATGCATCCCCTGATCGAGAGCCCTTCTCAAATGCTGAACGTGTCTTCAAGACAAGAGTGCACATTTTTCAGAATACATTTTTGTGACAGTTTTGGACCAAAAGAAAGAAATGAACTATCCCACTGGAAGTGCAGAGCTTGGTGTGGCAGAACACACTCAAATTGAAGTATGTCCGTAATTCTGGGATTGCTTGTGAAAGGCACCATGAAATCTTCAGTGACCACCTTAACTACAGACCAATTAAATATGTTTCCTTGGCGTCTGTTATAGAAACTGGCTCTGAGCAAGCAGGCAAAGCCTTCAGCCACACACTTTATATAGCTTCTAACATGCTATATTCGTCTTTGGAAATTAGCAGTTTGCATTGACCATCAGTGAATCTTACTGTTCAAGCAACCACATTTTTTCAGCTCATAATTATGTATCTGGCTAGTACCAATAACAGAAAGGCACATATTAACAGATTCTTCTGTGGGCCTTAGAAAACTGCATCATATCTGCTTAAAGCTGATAGACTTCTCCAACAGCAGACAGGACCAAGCACAACATAGCTCTGCAACAGGGATGAGCTACAAGAGCAACAGATTTACTGCAGGAACAGTTTAAGATTACTGGTTGCCAGTGCTGGCTAAAGAGAAATAAGAAAACAATCTGCAGTTTTTATTCATCTGATTAAGATTGGTGCTGTTACATTAGGATTTTTTATTTTAGGATGACATCTCATCCAAGAGCACTAACAAAGCACAGGGGTGGGACTCAACACAGAATGATTGGCTCAGTCGCACATCACTGTTGTGCACAAAGGCAAAACGTGGGGCACTGAAGGCTGATGTGACAGCAGCGCAGGAGACAGGGACTCAAAGCAGCTCTTAGAACAGCCCACGAGCCCCTGCTGGGTGCAGCAGCTCAGAGGGAGCTCTTTCCCAGTGTCAGTGCTGGGTTTCAGTGCTGGAGCTCTGGGCTGCTTTGGCTAAATCGTTACTTGTGAGTAAGCCAATTGCTTAAAACACAAAATGCATTTCATTCACAAAGCAAACTAACTCCCACAGGTCCAACAACCACATGAGGATTTGGGGAAGCTTCTCCTTGGCACATCTGATGCTGTCCAGAAGGACAAATGTTTTGGGTGAAACTCAAAAGGAACTTAATCCAAAATTAATCTCAGGCTCCAAACATCATTGTTGCTGAAATTAATGTCTGAGACTCATTTCAACAGCCAATAACCACTGCCAAAGTTGCATGTAAATTTGTAACGAGTACAAAGTATTAATAGTCACTAATCCACTTGGGAACACATCATAGGGCTGAGACAACAGGATGAGGAACATAATCTGCACACATATCCAGTGTCAAAACCAAACTGATGAATAACAAGAAAGAAGAGTTCGTTTAGAAAAAAATGCTGCCCTTTATGCACCAGGTGGATTTCCACAAGGAAGAAAGTGATCTTATATCATATGAAAGAAGCTTCATCTGCTGCCCACCTTTTATAGCCTCTCCCTGCCTTCCACAACTGCATTCCCCCTCATTCCTAACGTAGACTTACATCCCTTCTTGTAGGCATTGTCACAAGTTTCAAAGGAGGAAAAGAGTCAGCATAGGATGGGAATGCTAACTGAAACCCAGAAAGAACTGGGAGACTTTGAAAATCCATAGTTCAGCAGAGTAAAGTGAGACACCTGGCATAAGGGGTGCAGCCTTCAGCACAGGTACGAAGAGGAGGAAGAACCTGCAAGCTTTACTTTTGAGCTGCTATCCAAGCCTACGTCCTTACCTTTAACTATCAACATTCATATCTTAAGCCTCAAGATACAATTTTGCTTGCTTTTCACTTTAATTTTCACTTTCTGTAATTCTATATGTATGCAAAAGTAGAGCCCTCTACAGTCTGCTGATGCAAATAATCATCAGATCCCACTCAGTTTTTGCAGCAGAAAATTTTCTTCCACTCCTTAGCAGGGAGAATGTGAAAGGAAAAAGAAAGCTGTCTTCATGGTGATTTAAAGCACCAACACTAACGTACATTGTCCCATCCACTTCCCCCTGCAGCCCGCACTGCAATCAAAAGAATTTCTTGCAAATCAAATCTCTCGGCAGGGTGGAATTACAGAATAAACCTCAGGTTAGATATACAAAAACATTTAATATCGGATTTCTAGCTGAGTATTTTTTAAAGCCAATGTGCATTTCTGTATTTCCTGTTATTTGTTAATACACAAGCAGTGCAGCTCATTAATAAAGAAGAGGACTTTCCCATCACTACAACTGGACTGCAAAAGGTTCATTCCCTTTTCTGTTTGCTGCTGGACACGTATATCTGTGAAGGGAAAAGAAACAACTAATTCTCATCAAATTGGCATTTCAGTCACGACTTTTTCCATACTGACTTTTTGCACTTTGGTGCTCAGAAAGGCACTTCGGTCCCAGGGCAGGAGCACACAGTGCAGTGCTGCTGCAGTACCAGAGGAGCAGAGCATACCGTACCACCGTGGTGCAGGGGAGGGCTCCGCATGGCACTTACTTCTCACTTCTCAGGCAACTGTAGAATCCAGCCATGGTCCTTCGCAGAGGTGTGCAAGGCATTTAATTCATCCTTGTGCACAGATGCTGACACAAAGACTCGGCAGCTCTGTGCCCTGCTCACTGCCCACACGAGAAAGGCAGCGTGCCGATGCAATTTCTAGCCAGATAAAGTTCCTGATCTGAGGCCCTCAGCCTCTGCTGAACCGGGTCCAAGGAGGGCTGTGCCTGCTCCATACATGGTTATGAATTGTTAACTCCCCCTTTCCCTGCCTCCCTCCAGCTCATGGTGAGACGGCATCCTAAGTGTCAAATACCATATGGCAGTTGGTTCTGTCTTCCTGCGGGACTAATGAGGGGATTGACTGTAATTAGGATATAAAGAAGCCCCTAAAGATTATATCGTTTTTGTTATTTTTTAAACAGGCTACGGAAAACACTCACACCATCGCCACACAAACCTGCAGCCACTCTCCAGCACACAAAGGGTGCACAGGACCTTCCAGCACAGGCATCAGCCCAACTCACTGTAAATCACAAGCGATTCTAACGTGCTGCTCCACACATGCAAAAACTGCATCCCTGCAGTACCGCGAGGCCAGGCGAGAAGCTCTAGAGTTTCAAACAGCCACCACGTCTGTATGAGAAAAACCCTGCCTGGCAATGCCCACTGATGACACACACAGCAGCCGTGCCTCACTGCTGCTAGGAGACCCTCGTGGGTGCAGAAGAAGGAAAACAGCTCTGGTTTAATGCTGGCCATAGCAGCTCTGTTCAGACGATGACCCAAGCCCAGGGTCAGCAGGGCTGCCCACACATCAGCATTACACTGCATTAAGTCCATGCAGCACAGTTTGCCCAACATTTTGGTTCGCCTGGGCAGCATTGAGTGAACAGAAATTGCCTTGGGCCACATACACAAAGGTCGCTCCGAAAGTAATGCCCCCCTATTTATTTCCATGGAAACTACAACTGATACAAAGAGCGCAATCACACCTTTTCATAGGGCAAATTCTCAGCTACAAAACACTGTTTTTTCAGTAAAGCCACCACTACTAGCTCTGCATTTTTGCCAGTGATTAACAAGAGCCTGGATACTGTGCTTGTAAAAACCTGCACCAGTGGAGATGCCTTAACTGTCACTGTCACACTGCTGAAACGCACCCTCGATGGATGTCAGTGTCTAATGTGGATCATTTCTTCTAGAATATTAAGAGAAATAAGTTAACACCTTTCCTGCAAGGGAGACACGAAGTTTGAGAAATGTCCCCAGGTGCATGGTCCCAGAACTGACTGTTGCAGCAGCTTCATAACAGTGCAGAACTGTGTAACCTATGAATTATGAACCTTTGAACACCATTTATTTTCTATAAAATCCCATACATAAAGGAAAGCTGTGACACAAATAATTAATGATGTCAAGGGCAAGAGCTATCACTAACAAACCAAATCATATTCTCATCTAGCTTCACAGCAAGAGAGAAAACTCACAATGCCATCCACAGAAAAACTGCAAATCCAACCTGACCTGAAGAAGACGTGCTTTCTATTTGCAAAAGATGCAAAAATGCACTAGCACAAGTTGATATTAGTTTTACTGCTGTCCTGAATTACTGTGTTTGTCACAATGATTCCAGTCCAAACTCTTCATCCTAATTACGAACCAGCTACGAGCCTTAGCCTCCACCCATTGAGAAGCCCACAGAAAAAAAAAGTCAAACCCAAGACTTTGGTTGTAGGTTATCAACCACTGAGAAAGAATTCAGGGAGATTACTGGGGAAACATTCTCACTGGCTGAGTGTACAGAACCTTGGACGTGGGGCTGCATTTGAAATCTGCCCAGCATTTGGCTCAGAAAATGCTGCCAAAATAAACATTTCTAGCAAAAAATGAAGGAAACCTCATCAGAAGTTCACATTTGTATTTAAAAGCAAGAAAGATCAAATGGCTTTCTAGTGGGAAGGCTCAATCCTAAAGGCAGTGGAAGGGCGTAATTCTGATGGCTTTGGACGAATTTCGTAGTTTTAACTAGAATAGAGTAAGACCCTCAAGATTCAAAAGACCGTATTTTTTTATTAACACAAAGCAGATTCCCTGTCTCCCAACTACCTGAGAGGGTTTGCCTTCAGAATGTTTCCTGTCATTGTTCTTTTGCCTTTCATGTGTTTGGTTTTTGTCTTGAAGTTACTTGAATGTGCAAATCTTGGTGCTCATTTAGGTCGAATGTAGTCTTGTTCCCAGGAACTGGCAGATTTACCCACACACATTGCACCACTTAGAAAGACCCTTTACTTTCCAAGAAGCATAGACTGGTAAACAGTCATTAAAAATAATTACCTCACCTTGGGATTTACTCCTTTTTATTCTCTATCTCCATATCAGTCTCCAAGCCACTTCATGGCAGCGTTTCCTATTCATGGCTCTGATTCTTCATCTCTTGCACAGCTCCAAATAGCTACACATTGAGCTTTCTGGGTAGAGATCCAAAATCTTTGATGCTGATAAATATCCTGGCTCCAAGTCCGCAGTGCAAGTAAGCAGTTATGTGATGCTTGTACAGGTCATGCAGTCAAACAGGAGCCAAGCTGACATTAGCTCGTTCCTTGACAAGTGCTAAATGAGTGGGCTTCTCTGCTGCCAGTTAATTAATAAAAGCTGTTTTCAGCTTGGTAAGTAGATGAGCACCAAATAACCACAGAATACAGACTTTGGCAAACTAAAGATTGTTCTTTAAAGATAGGGAAGAGAGCAAGTTTAGACACCTGGAAGCTGAATCAGATCTGAATTTCCTCTAAAGTCTGTGGTTTGGCCTGACTGAAAAAAAACCATTCTAGCCCATTTCTGTTTGAAACAAGCATTCCCCTTGACTTCTCCCAACTCACTGCCATTGCTCCCCCCCACACACACAGCCCAATAACCTTACTACTCCCTGCGATCACTGCACATCCTAATCTGCTTCATCCTC